TTTAAATGAAGCGGCGATTATTTAAATCGCCGCTTCATTTTCCTATGTCTGGTAGCCTAATCTACATGCCTCTGGCGACAGAGGCATGTAGACTAGACGTACCCTGAGTATAAAGTTCTGCCGTTTGTTATATCTATCCTGTCTTCTATTATATCAGAGGGTGAGAGGTTGTTTTATCAGTTCATTGTTTGTAATCCATTGTTTTAACTTACCTGTTATCTGTTGTACTTTACAATATATACTGTTAAATTTGAACACTATACGTGTCTGTTTATTCGGACTCGAGCTGAGAAATCCACCGGTGACAGATACGGTGGTTTCCAGGTCGGACCATCTTCTGGGACAAAGGCATTTAACATAGTTTAAGATCAGGCCCATTAAATTTAGTTTACTAGTGCACCTTTGCTGGTAACACGCCGAAGGCCCTGCCCCTTGCCGGTCAGCCCACAGCCACCTGAAATCTATGAAGTGGCCCCCCCTTCCAAAATTATTGCCCACCCCTGTAATACAGTCTTTACTTACATAGTCACATACTAGTCTTTCCCCAGGACCACTCATTCAGTATAGTGGTAGTAGTAGTCGTCCCCCCCAAAACTTTCCAGGGTCACAGCCTCTTTTATCACTGTCCACACTCCTGGGCCACAGCTCCCGGAATAGAGGGTTTTGGACAGGGGTAAGGAGACTGGGTCAGCAGCTGGGGCCAGGGCTGGAAACAGAATTGAGTAGCACTCCCTGTCCACTCTCTAGGTGGATTGGCTTGGACAACAGTGCTCTCTCCGCCACCCCCTCAAAATGGTCCTCAGTACCTTCTTAGGTGGATGCACTCCACACTTTAAGGAACTCTGGTGTACAGGATGAACCTACTCTGGAGAGGACTCAGGGTTGCACAGTGAAGGCAACTTGTCCCTAGAGCCCCTTGCTTCATTTGTTGTGGAAGCTGAAAGGTGACACATGAATGAAGTAGGAGATTGCAGAAAGATAAAAGATGATCTCATGGTTAAAGTAGCTGACTGCCACCAGGGAAGTCTGAATTCTATTGTTATCTCTGCCAAACTTCCCAGGCCAGGGTTGGGCACAATCTGGCCTGTTAAGCCATTTGATCTGGCCCCATGACCCGCCTTAGTGGGAGGGAGGGGAGGAGACGCGAGAGGCCCTGATTGCCCTCCCGCCATACTTTGAGTGCTCCTCCACCCTCAGGCCCTGATTGCCCTCCCGCCATACTTTGCGTGCTCCTCCACCCTCAGGCCCTGATTGCCCTCCCGCCATACTTTGCGTGCTCCTCCACCCACAGACCCTGACACACACACACACACACACACACACACACACACACACACACACACACACACGCGCGCCAAGGGTGCATGGATGGAGCAGCCAGCTGTTCAAAATGGCTGGGGGGTCCCTTGACAACCATATGACCCTGGCACTGGGGGAAAGAGGAGAGGCGATTTTGCACACTTCTCTGACCCCCGGCCAATCATTGTAGCTGGGGCCAGGGAAGCATGCAAACTCTCTTGCCCCCTGCCAGAATCACACAATGCCTAGAGGGAACTGCCACCCATTTTGAACAGCTGGCAGCTCCATCTATGCCCCTGCCAAAGGTGGTGACCTTTGGCAGGGAGTGAAAAACTCTGCACACTCCCCTGCCCCCAAGGTGCAATGACTGGCACAAAATCTCCTCTCCCCCATCACCAGGGGTTCAAAACAGCTGGCAGTTCCCTGTAGGCACTGTGTGACGGGTGGAGGCGAGACACTTTGCATGCTCCACAACCCAATTGGCCTGGCATCAAGGGAACATGCACAATGTCAATCCCCACTCCCGTGACGCACGGCCCTAAGCAGCATAGGGAGGGAACCTTTGTGGTTGGCGCTGCTGCAGGAGGGAGCCTGCCTCAGAAACCCTGTTGGACTGCTGGCTAGGAGCCACCTAAGGTAAGAGACTCTCAGCCAGAGCCTGCCTCCAACATCTCAGCCCCTGCCTCTTGCACCCCAGCCCCTGCCACTTCCTAACTCTCTGCCTCAGGCCATTACTTCCTTCCACACTAGGTCACCATCTATAGGGGTAAACTGAGGCTGTCCATGGTATTCTGCTAAGAACTCTTTCATATCCTAAATTTGAGGCCTGGGAACTCTCAGAACAAGCAGCTACCATGACCCTGGTTGCCCTGGCAACCACATTCCAAGAGGGCCTCACTCCAATAAAACCCTGGCTGGTACCAAAACAAACTTCACAGAAGTCGTTCTCACTGTCTCCTTTAATTCTAGATAATGAACTAGGATCCCAAGGACCACACCAACGTGAGGCAGTAATCATTCTACAGTAGATGCATCATAATTTCAGCAAACAAAGTTGCCATCAACATGTCTTCTGTTTATGTTAACTTATTTAGCTTGTTAGGAATAACTACCTGCTTTACTGATAAGATGTTTAATTGGCAATGGGCAGAGATGCTGTGTAACCTTCGTAGTTTATTGGCTTATGTGCTCATTAAGTCTTGCCAGCAGGACCTATGAAATTGCTTCCACTCCACCCACCTGCTGCCTCTATAATTCATTGTAATGTTTTGATTAACTAGTGCTCTCCAGGTTAACCTCTGGTTGGTACTCCATCAGCACTGGTGCATAATACATCTTCTGCTTGTTTTCACCTGCATCCAGAGTGTCCAGAATTATTCTCTATAATGCAAAATACTGCTCACCTCCCCAGATCACAATTCCCTCCCAAACCCTGCACCTCCTGCTGCAACCCTCCCCCCAGGTTAAAATTCACTCCTGCACTCCTATTCCTTTCCAGACCCAGCACCCTAATCCCCTGCCCCAGGTCACAATCCCCTACTTCACCTAAACTCCCTCTCAGACCCCACACCCTCTCCTGCACCCCAACCTCCCTTCTACACCCCGACTCCCTCCCAAACCCTACACCTCTTCCATAAAGAAGTGTGGCCCTTGACCACTTTCCAAAAATCTTAGAGTGGCCCCCGATCAAAAATTATTGTCCACCCTTGTCCTAGACAATACTTAATAAGTCACACAAAACATTTTACCAGTGTGAACTTCAAGGTCCTGGTGCATGACTTCAGATTCTGAGGTCTCCTTTACAGAAGTGCTGAGCACTCAAAGCTACAATTGACTTGAAGCCTTGAGAACTGTGATTTGAACATATAAAGTGCTCCTTAACGCTAAGTACTCTGGTTAAAGTCTGGCAAAGTTATAAGCAACTGAACAGAGGGGTTTTTTTTTTTTTAACAACAGGAAGTGTCTGGTTACCTTAATACATCATAATTTATCAAGGATGAATGATGCTGGTCTACATGAATTTTCAGAATATTCCACAGAACAACGTATAGTCTCTCCCG